TAGTTTGAGCCTTGTGAGCAAAAAGAAGGTGTTTTTAAGTGCTTTGGAGTGTTCTTGGTGCATCTTAGAGAAGAAGGAGCTCATTGGGGGAAGTGTTGGTTGCATTGGAGTTTATAGATCCAGACTTTGTTCACCTTGATCTTTCATCTAGAGGTATAAAGTTTGAATCTTGATGATGCATTTGTTAGATCTAGCTAGTTTTGGATGTTATGAGCTTTTGGTCATTTTAGTGCATAAAGTTTAGATCTTGAAAGTTTGTGACCTTGTTATGGATAAAGTTGGAAACTTTATCTATCTAAACATCATTTTGATTCAGATCTGAAAGTTGGAGACTTGGACTTAATGGATTAAGTTGATAAATATGCACTTTTGGGTCCCTTTTAGACTTAAAGACTAGATCTTGTTTGCTTTTCAAATGGATAAAGTTGGAAACTTTATCCGTTATGGAGTTATTAAGAAACACAAAAATGTATCTTGGTCCCTTATTCCCTTCCATGTAAATGTTAGAGAGCTTAAGACAAGTTAGGGTTTTGGTGTTGGGCATTTTCTAGGCATGCAAACTCATAAAGATGGAAACTTTATGGTTTGGAATGATATTTGGGGGCTAGATCTGCAATTGGACGAAAGGACTTCATGAAATAAGCACTTAATGGGAAGTGACTTTTGGCCGAGTATGTTAGGCGTACTTCTGAGTACGTCGGACATACTCCCTTGGAAGCCCGATCTGGACCTTGAGTACGCTAAGCGTACATGCTGAGTACGTTGGGCGTACTCAGCCTGAGTCAAGTCGGTTGACTTTGATGATTTTTGACTTTGACCAAGTTTGACCTATGGTATTTTCAGTTATATTTGAGTTTGGTCACTATTTGATGAATAGGTGACCGGTAGAGCTGATATTCGGAGCAATGTCCTGTCAGCGACCTTTTCAGACTGGGAGGTGAGTTTTCCTCATTGTACTTGTGGGTCGAAGGCACCAATACCAGCCCACTAGGTTATGTTGTAGTGATTTGTTAAATTTGTATCCTAGTTTATAGGATTTTGCTATACGGTAGTGATCTGTAGATCTGATTGTTTGTCTGTTGTCTGTTGATTGATTATATGTTTATCTGTTATGTATATGTCGACATTTTATGGTTTTTGGTTGAGGCTTTACTGATTTGTACGTGAGTCAACAGACCGGGGGGTATTACAATCTGATGACTGAGTGGGCCCGAGGGTATTCCAGTCCGATGACTTAGTGGACCCATTGTATATAGGCATTCCAGTCCGATGACTGACTGGACCGAGGGTATTCCAGTCCGATGACTGAATGGACCCGTTGTATATTGGCATTCCAGTCTGATGACTGATTGGGTCGGGGTAATCCAGGTTGATGGTTGTGGACTTGTGGGCATTCCAGTCTGATGACTGATTGGACCCAGCATGCTTGTTTATATATGTTATGTTGTGTGGTGGTACTTTGGGGGAACTCACTAAGCTTCGTGCTTACAGTTGTTTGTTATAGTTTCAGGTTTTTAGATGATCATGGCAAGGCGAAGGCTTGATCGTGCACATCATTCAGATTTTATGATATTCGATCTTGGGATACTCTGATTTATAATTATAACTTTTGAAAATAGTGTTTTGTAAACAATTATAGTCGTTGGGTGGTTTTTGAAAAATGAAAATTTTACCGTGATTTTTGGGATGTTACAATGTTGATGAATCTGTAAGGTGTTATTTGTTTTTTTTTTAAAAACCACTTCTAACCAATTCTTGATGTGTCGCGCAGCACACACGCAACACTTGGCCTTTCGCAGCTGTTTGTTTTTTGGAAGACTTCTAACTTAAAAATTGATGTGTGTGTGTTGCGTGACACTTCTCAGTTACTTTAAGTTACATTATTTAACTTAGATTTATTTTAATTTTTTTTCAACAACATGTTGATTATTTTAATAATAATTGAAGAATATGTAAACAGTTTGAGTATATTTTACATAATTTCAAAAAAATTTAAAACCGTTTGTTAAATTTCATATAAATATTTTTTGTGTTATATTGTCTATAACCAAATATTAATAAATTATAAAGTTAATCATTAAAATTACCAAATTTATTGAAGTTAACTGGAAAAAATAATTATCGTCCTCAAAATTTTAACAAAAATGAACATGTTTTTAGCTAAATTAACAATTTTATTTATTGTTATTTAGCAACTATTATGTTTAATTCTTTTATATAAACTTCTTTAAAAATCATATCATCACAATGATCTTTATATTTGATTTGCATATGATTAAACTAAATAAATTTTTTACTTAGATTTATTTTTAACTATTTTATAGTTAATTTCAGTTTATTACAGCAATCTGCAGAGGTTAAAAAACCAAACATACTTCTTATTACAGACTGCAGCCGTTTGGTCCACTTCTTCTATTGCAGAGGGTTGCAGATGTGGTCCGCGGGCTTCAGTTGTTTTTGCTTCGAAAAAACAAACAATACCTAAATAATGAGGAAAAACTAAATTTACACACGTTTTTATTAATGATTATGCATCATGATCAAAATAAGATTAGTAGTATTGCGTTTCAGGGTTCAAGTTCCCATTCGACTTTCCATTTGAACCCTTTAATGGAGGCTTCCCTTTTCTTACACGACCCAAATCGGTTTCCAGTTCTTCCACAACACACTAATCAAAATATATTCATTTAAAATTAAAAAACTAAAATTGGACCTAAATTTTTAATGGTTCTGATAGACATATAATATATCTATTTATCAAATACAACATGGATTATAAGTACGACAAAAGTAGGAAAAGGGTAACCTTCAGTTCTTCTATTTTCTCATTCAATCTCATCATTTGTGCACTATGAGACTTACGCTTGATGATTACAAATGATTGTCACCTACAAAAAGTAATGTACAATGTTAATTTTATACACATGAATACAACATTATAAAAAAAATTACATATACGATTAATAGAAATAAATGTAAGCATAATAGACAAATAAATGGAAGTATGTTGCTATTTCTTACATTATGAGGGTAAAATTTTCTAAAAGATATGGTATTTACCTCTTTGTTTGCTTGGTTGTAAACGACTACATTTTCACCAAGATTTCCACCCCCACTCATGTCCTTATTTAACTGCAACCAACAAAAAATAACTTTAGCTTTTTAACATTTTACAAATTTGCCCTCGTTTATTTTTCCTACAAGTTCTTGAATGCTTTTTAAACATAATTTATCTAGAGAACACAAATGAGAAAAGTGAAGTGAGTATTGATGTTACAATATCATCCAAGGTGATGGATGCATTATATATACGGAAAACTTTAGCTGCGAGGCCAGGAATGAGTGCCTTTAAATGAGTTTTCAATGTGCTTGTATCCAACTTGTCAAAAAGACTTTCATTCAAGTGCTCCATTAAACTCCAAATGCTCTGTTGAAACTAAATGCTTTATGAGAATACTTCAAATGCTCAAGTCACATTTAACTTGTTCTTTCTAGCAGATTATTGTATTTTTGTGAATATCTTTGCTTTTTCAGTTCGAGGTATCGTGTATACCTTCATAAAAGTGGAGTACGCTAGGTATATTCCATCACAAAGATAGTAATTGTGTTTGTATTCATGCCCGTTCACCGTGAAAGACATATCAGGTGCTCGCCGATCCAAATATCCTTGAAAATGGGGACCGACGAAGAACATTATGGTCATTGTTGGACCCTACAACCCCAAAGTATGTGTGTCAAATCCACAAATCATGAGATGCAACAGCTTCCAGTATTATAGATGGTTCACCTATATCACCTTGGGTAAATTGACTGCCAATCATTTAGACATCTTCCCCATGTCCAATACGTATAATCAAGGCTATCGATCATTCCTGGTAAACCATGTCTCGCTTCATGTGCCAAATACAATTTCTCAATATCACATTATTAGGTTTACACAAATATTCTTTGCTAAAAACCTCAATAACAGATGCGCAAAAAAAATCTACACACTCCACTGCTTTCAGACATTTTCAAATACTTGTTTGTGGCATCATATGTAATACTATTTACTAAGTACCTAAGAGTAGTCGAACATTTATGTATAGTACTAAATCTCATTCTAGATTCTACCTCTAACATTTGGTCTTTGTTGGAAAAACTCATTGCACGACTCTAAAACATTACTAATACATAAAAATACTTCCCTACTAGTATGAAAACGACAATTAAATGTTCTATACTCAGCAAAATAATGACGTATCAAAAGTTTATGTGCGGCTTGCCAATCTCGATTGACAATTTCTTGTATTTCTAACATCTATATGATTTTGATTGGCAATGTTTTGAACAGCAGTAATGAACGTTGCGAACTCCCTATCACCCAAATCATAATTTTTTTTTTTTAAAAAAAAAATCATCTTTGTGGTGTTAAAAAATATACAAGAGAACAAGGTTTATGTTTGAAAGTGGAATGATATATATAAAAGTGTGGTAAGTTTTTTTAAGTTTGATATTTTTTTTTAAGAAAGTGATTGTTGGCTTTGCTCTACTCTTATTCACCGTTTTCATTTGTAGTGGTGACCATATTTCACAACGCCACACTCATATAGGATGGTGTGGACGGACATGGTTTCTTGTGACCGTGGCAACACCGTTTTCATTTGTAGTGGTGACCATATTTCACAACGCCACACTCATATAGGATGGTGTGGACGGACATGGTTTCTTGTGACCGTGGCAACAGTCTAACAACAATTTTAATGTATCGGTCATAGATACATTAAAGCCATTTGATGTGCAAGTGTAGCAAATCATTGTTTAAAAATTGCTAATTAAACTTGAAATGGTATAAAATAAATTATTCATATCTTGCCGTTTCTATTCCTTTATCAATTACTTCGTTATTCGATGGACACACACACGTAAAGGAGATAGATATACACTTCAAGAAAAATTAACACAAGCTCTACATTGCATATATATGTTTATTATTATTATTTTTTTTAAATCTAAAGAACAATGGTCAGTAACACAACAACAACTCATCATTACATTGTATAGCATGCTTAGTACAACATGAATTTTCCGCAAGAGTGACAACATAAAATGGAAAACAAATAAATAAAACAAAAAACAAAAAATCTATAGTTTCCTTGTCCTTTTTTTTTATATAAATTTTGGGTAGGTATCAGAACCTGAAGCTTGGATCCACATCCATCGACCAAGCAAATTTCGCCAATAAAGACTTGTTAAATATCTGCATTATTATAATTTATATTCACATCATATTATATATATATATATATATATATATATATATATATATATATATATATATATATATATATATATATTGTTAAAATTAAAAAGAAACAAAACATGATTTTTATTTAATTTTTTTACCTTTTCAATTGGAACTTCACGACGTTTACACCATGCGACTGTTATTCTAGGATCAAGATAGTTGATTTTTGAAGTTCCCAATGCAACTGTTTTCAAATCTTCTTTTGTCTCTTTGTCACGTTCCATTTTCTCAATCTTTGCATTAGTTTGAGCGATCTTTTTCTGTAACCTGTATTACATTTTCAAAATTATTATTAATCATTTAATTTAAAAAACGTTTTTATTACAAAAAAAAAAAAAAAAAAAAAAAAAGATTTAATTTTATTATATTACGCTTCAGGGTTCATGTTCCTCTTTAGCTTTCCATCTGAACCCTTTAATGGAGGCTTCCCTTTTCTTGCTCTACCCAAATCAGTTTCCAGTTCTTCCACAACACCCTAAAGAAAAATATATTCATTTAAAATTAAAAACTAAAATTTTAATATATCATAAAAGTAAGAAAAGACTTATTTATACCTTGAGTTCCTCTATTTTCTCATTCAATCTCATCATTTGTGCACTATGAGACTTTGAAACACTGCGTTGATGATTACAAATAATTGCCACCTACAAAAAGTTAGATTTTTTACACATGAATAAAAAATTAATAGAAATAAATATAAGATTTTATAATTTTATAATGATGTTTAGTTTACCTCTTTGTTTGCTTGGTTGTAAACAACTACATTTTCAGCAAGATTTCCACCACTACTCATGTCCTTATTTAACTGCAACAAACAAAAAATGAGTAATCTAATCTAATCTAAATAATAATAATAATAATAATAATTAATATATTGATTTTACCATATCATCCAATGTGATGGATGCATTATATGTACGGAATACTTTAGCTGTAAGGCCAGGCATTAGTGCTTTTAAATGAGCATTTAATGTGCTTGTATCAAGTTTGTCAAAAAGATCTTCATTACTCTTCTTCCCTATGAAATTAACCCCAAAAAGACGTTATTACCCTTCTCATAAATGAAGGAATGAAATCAAATGGCAACTCACCTGTTCGGAACTGTTGAATTGCTTTGAACACAAGTGGCTCAACTTCAACCTCGTTTTGGTATCTTATTGAATCTTTACCAAGAAAGTCAAACTTGAAAAACATCAAAAGTCAAAATTAGCTTCTTTTTTTTTTTTTCATTTTTGGAATACTTTTATATATAATTTACCTTGAGGATATTTGGAGGCTGTGGCTCGACATTTTCTACTTTCAATGTGCAGCAACCAACTGTATCAGCTTCATCATCATCCTGCAACCATAAATATGAATTGTGAAATCCATCAAACATGGAATGGAATCATGAATTCCATTCCGTTATCAGATAGGAATATACCAAATACTACCTTCTCGTTTCCAGCCCTGAGTGCTAATTTATCAATGAGATATGTGGCAACTGCCACCTGTCTCTTTGTCAAATCTTTATTTGTAAAATCTTTAGTGTAAGCTTGTCTGATGCCTCCTATGTATCCCTATATAATAAAATAGTATGATGATAATGATATTATTAAATATCAGGATTCAGGAAGGGCATTTTGGTAAAATTAAGATTTATGTGAGTGACACTGACCTTCAACAGCCTTGCCTTTTCGTATTTTTCTTTGTCACTTTGACCCTTGAGGGCACTGCTGGCAGCTAAGAACACATACTTGAAGTCCTTTCCATTTATAGCATCATTCCAATATGCTAACCATGTTACAGTATTATCATGCCTAATTTCTTTCCAGCTGTCAACCATCAAAAAAATTCCAATTTTAGGGCAAATTACAAATTTTGGTTATGTTTGGTATGATGGAATCAGGAAAAGGAATGGAATGGAATGCTTCTTTCCATCATGAAATGAAATGAAAATTTTCAATATAATGCATTTTTGTTATGAATGTCATGACTTATTCCATTCCCTTGTTTATTACATTACTCTGATAATTCCATTCCATATCCAACCAAACATATGGATTAAAAAAAGTCAAATAAGTCAAACCTTTCACCAGGAATTGGACATTCCGGGATAGGGGCACCCTTGCCAATGTTTATTGTGATATCAGAAGGACGGATACGACTTTTCAGCTTTCCCATCTAAACAACACAAAGATAACAAATACAATTTAATATTTTATAAGAAAAATCTAAAAACCAAAAGTTAAAAACTTTCATAACAGGGACAAAGTTGTCATTTCACCTTCGGATGCTCCCCACGACCTCTAAACAACCCAGGTGGCTCCACCCTAAAGTTTCCAACCTGAAAAAAATTAATTAATAATCATCTTTTTAAGTTTATGACCTAAAAGAAAACTAAAAAACAAAATATAAAAACTTATGAATTTATGATATATTACCTTCTCTTTAACACCATCAACTATTGCCCACATATATTTCTCCTCAAGCTTCATTTTTTCTTCTTTTATCGCCTTTTTCTCCTGCAAAAGTGTAAAAAAGAAAAAGTTATACCAATAATTATTGTATATTGGAATTTAAATTTCCTCAAAATTTATACATATAAACTTACTTCTGTAGTCATTTGCTTCTTCTTTTCCTTTTCCCTTTGATGCCAATCATATATTGGTTTGAAATCACAATCCTCTAAACTCTGGATTGTATGATTCCTTCCCAATATCTTCCTCCAATCATTCCAGAAATTTTGTTTGAACACAGGTTTTGTCATGTAATCAGTATCCAACATCACTGCAAACATTGTTGCCACCTGTCAAAAATATGAAATCCAAGTTTGTCAAATTAGTTCAATAGCAACAGACTTTCATTTATGCATTTACTTTCAAATTTTGTATTTTGAAAGTCTTAACCAATTATAGAAATGAAAATTGCTTCATATTTGAATGACTTTGTAGATTTTTTGAAGTAGAATTTGTAATATTCACCTCTTCTTGTTCAGGTGTTAAATCAACAGGCTTCCCTTTGTAGAGAATCTTAACCCCATGAGGCTTGTATGGAGGTGGAAAAATTACACCATTATGAACCAAACTTGTCCACTTTTGCCCTTCACCAGATCCAGGTGGAACCTTTGAGGGTTTGGAGTATTTTGACTTTTTCTCCACTTTCTTTGACTTCTTGAAGGTTTTACTTGATGAAGAAGTAACTTTCATCACCTTTTTTACAGATACTGATTTACTACTTGAAGGGGATTGGTTCTTGATTCTCTGAGATATGGGAACATGATCATTCTCATCATCTGATGACTCGGCTTTTGGTTTCATTTCTGGTTTCCGAATGATTGGTGAGGGTGAATAAGAATCTAAAAGCTTTGGCTTTTTGACCAATGGTTGACTTGAAGATCTTTCCTCATTTGGGGGTCTTTTATTTAATCCAAGATTCGGTTTTTTGATTTGATTATCCCTTGATGCAGAACCATTTTGGTTAACTCTTGAAGATAGTGGCTTATCATCATCAGAATCATCATGTTTTCTGATAAGTGGTCCAATTGATGGCTTGGATGTAAATTTTGAAGATAAAGGTTTTTCATCCTTAGAATCTTCATGTTTCACTTGTGGTCTGGGATGTTGAGATGAACTAGGGTTAGGGTTTGGTGTTATTTTCAAATGGTTGGAATTCGGCTTATTAGGTACAACTGAAATTCTTGAACTTAATGGTTTATCATCTTCAGAATCCTCTGAATCACTCTTTTGTTTAGGTGGAGGTTTAACAATAGGTCTAGCTAAAGGTTTAGCCACAGGTTTAGCAACAGGTTTAGCCACAGGGTTCTCCTGCTTACTAATGGAAGTTGGCTTCTGTTGAGAGGAATGCTTCAATCTATCAGAATTTGAGCTCCTTTTGAAAACCAAGGGCTTGTCATCCTCATCAGATGAATAATTCATTATTGTGGTCAGCTTGTTGTCATATATCACTTAATCAATGAGATCTTGTATTTATTGTTTTGCTCAAGATTATTTACAGGATTTGTGAGACTGAAACAAAAGAAGCTGCATTAGTATGATATTTCAACTCACCATAATTAACAAATGGCTTATAACTTATAAGCATTACCTTAAATTTTGGGAATGGCAATAGTCTAGCTTCAGTCAAGAGGTGATCAGGTGACAATAGAAAGTGCTGGAAATGACTCGAGACCTAATTGGATTTGCAGCTTCAGGAAAGAGAATTGGTAGATATATGAGAAGTTGAGAACAATTATTTGGTTTTTAACTTCGTAGTATATCATCCAACATAGTTGCAATAAGCTTAACAATTAAACAGACAGAAGAGCTAGTTTCCAACACTTAAAATCAAGCACTGAAAGTTTACTTGATTTGCGTTAATGAATTACTACATTACTTAAAGCCCAAAGGTCTAGATTTCTTACTAAACATTCAAAATGCGAGAACTCAGATTATCCAATTCGGAAAATAAAAATCTCAAATTAAAAGTAGTAAACGTATTCAACATTCCAAACGAAAAAAGAAACAGAATACATTTAGTTAGGTTTACATTGAAAGGACTCAGCTTCGAGCTCAAAAACTAGCTCTTTTTCAATTGTTTTAAAGAAGGGTCTGATTTCAAAATTACAACTAATGATGGTGTGTGCGAAGCTACAAAATACAAAATCCAGTTGAGTTACTGATTGCTTAAGAAACTGACAACTTCATTGTTCGAACTTGAATTATTTTCTTGTCCAAATTATAATCGATGAAACAGAAGAGGAGTCGTACCAGTTGTACGGCGTGAAGATGAAGGTTGAACCCTAGATCCCGTTTCGTTTCCGATGAGAGGTAGGCAAGAGAAGAGGGTTGCCGTCGAGAGCCTAGAAATTTGGATAGAGAAGAAAAGGAAGAAGCGTTCGTCAAATTCGGGTCAAAAAAAGGTAAGATTTCGGGCTAAATCCGATGAATTGGGCACATCAAAACTCGTTAAATTTCATGGAATCTTCACCTAAAAATCTGCACTTTCGGGTCGGTTAATCAATTAGATAGAAATGGAATCATCGTTTTTAGGGCTCCATTATAGTTCGAAAAAGTTACATAAATAGTCCCTTAGGCTTCTTTTTTTTTTGAGACAATCCTTAAACTTCTTTTTTTTTTGTGACAGAAGATTGTTCTTTTTCAAAAAAAAAAATTATGGTTAGTTTTGACACATTTAAAGTAAAACTTTGTGTTTTTTAATTTATGTTATATTTTTCAACCAAAATTAATTAAAAAAATAAACAAATAAATATACCCCCACCCGACCCTCCCAGTTAATAAAAGTATAAAGCCCTAGCCTTCTGATCGCATCCCAACTTCTTCTTCCTTCATCTTAATTTTGTTCGTCTTCTTCCCTTCCGACATAGGTATCGACGTCGTCAGCATGTGTCATCTTAAACGCCTTTGTTAGGAAGTAAAGCGGATAACAAGCAAAACTAAAAGCACACAAGACATAGTATTTACATGGTTCGGTCAAGGTGACATACGTCCACGGGCAGGAGGGGAGTATTCTTTATTTCAGAGATCTCAAACAGAGGTTACAAGTACAATTTTCACAGAGATTCGCCTAACACTATAGAATTCAAGATACAAAAAAATGACTCAGCATGCATCCATGAGGGATCATACCTAAAACCCTAATGGGCCAAGCCCATTGGCCCATGAAAGGTGACAACCAATCATATTCCGCCATGCAACATTTTATAGAACATTCTTCCATGTTATACAACCCATGAGCATCAACAACATTCATGATGGAGTATCATGACCATAGCGGAGCATCATAATGCACAGGTGGCGCATCATGAACATTAATGGTCCAAAATCTATCACAGTGGGACAGCATGGTGTATTTCTTGAGCATCACCAACTTCTGAGCATCATAGAGGACTTCATAGCATACGCGGATCAATAGGGTCATCATGGGATATCAAATGAATCAAGATGGTGCATCATGTACCAAGGTGGTCCATGATGGCGTAACATCTCCTCCATGGCGTAACATCTCCTCCAAATGGCGCAACTTCATCCTCTTGGCGCAATTTCCCTTCCTCATGGCGCAACATCTTCTTCATGGCTTCCTTATGGTGTAACATCTCATATATGTGGCGCAACATCCATTCTTTTGGCGTAACTCCTTTCCCCTTGGCCCAACATCTACATGGATGGCGCAAGATGCATCCATATGGCGCAACATCCCTAATGATGGCACAAGTTCAATCTTCATGGCGCAACATGTTGCTCCAAGTTGATCCAAACCACTCCAAGTTGCTCCAAAACCCCTTTTGGAAGATCCGTTCCTTTGTCTAATTATCCATTACCTTCTCAGATGATATGTTCCTTTTTCACATGCTCCATGAACCTTAAGTGCTCCATTATGTTCTAAGTGCTCCAAACAATCCATGAGAATGCTCCAATTGCTCAAGTTACATTTAACAATCTCCACTTTGACTTAAGCATCCTATGAACTCTACCTCAAACAATAACTTCCTATATCTTCCTTCCATCAAGCCCTGAAGGGGCTTACCTCCTGCGAACATCAACCAAGTCCAAGCAAAGCTTGAACTTTTCCATGGGTAATGAATTTGTTAACATGTCTGTTGGATTCACCTTGGTATCAATATTCAGAATTGAGAACTTTTATGTTTCCAAAATGTCACAAATGAAATTCAATCTGACATCAATACGCTTCGTCTTCTCATGATACATAAGATTATTTGCAAGGTTCAACGCACTCTGACTGTCACAGTACAATATCGGCTTCTCCACCTTCATACCAAGACTCTGAATAAGCCCATGTCACTATATCTCATCCTTTATTCCTTCCGTCATAAACATGTACTCGGATTCAGTTGTAGACAAAGCCACTATATCTTGTAACATTGACTTCCAACCGATGGCACATCCGAACAAAGTGAAAACATAACATGTCTGTGACTTGCGCTTAAACAGATCACCTCCATGATCAGAGTCAGCATGTCCAACCAAGTCAGTTTTCGTATTAGCTCTATACACCAAGCAAACATCTGTCGTTCCCTTCAAGTATCACATGATCCACTTGAAAACTTCCCAATGAGCCTTTCTTGGATTGCTCATAAACCTGCTTACCACACTAAGTGAAGAAGCCAAATCAGGTTTGATACAGACTATTGCATACATGAGACTTCTAACAACACTAGAGTAAGGAACCTTGCTCATGTACTTCGTTTATTCATTAGTTGTGGGTATAGAATCTGGACCAAGTTTAAAGTGAGCCGCCAAAGGAGTTCCAACTGGTTTGGACTGATCACAGTTGAAAATTTGCAAAACTTTCTCGATATACTTATGTTAAGAAATACATAACCGCTCTAATATTCTATCCCTTTGAATCTCCATCCCCATTATCTTCTTTGTTGCTCCCAAATCCTTCATATTAAACTCATTCTTCAAGGTTGCCTTCAAGTCATTTATTCCAGCAATGTCATTGGTTGCAATTAGCATATCATCAATGTATAGCAACATATATATGTAGGAATCTGGTGACAATTCCTTTTAGTAGGCTAAAGGTTTGTATCGATCGGATACACTCAAGTATGAATAACAAATAACAAACAAACAAAGCAAAGATTAAACAGAAAATTAAAGAACGCAAATAATCATAAAGATACTTTCACTAAGAAAGAGGGTTCTCACAAAGAGAACGAGGTCACAAAGACGGTCACCAAGACTTATATTAGGGTTTCACCCTAATGTTGATTATACAGTAACGAATATCCCACTAACTAAGGGATGTATACTAATCTATGTAAAGGTCTGATCCTAATCACTAAGATTACAGATCAGACATATATTCTATATTTACAACATAGGACTTCCTAATATACAAATGTTACTAAGATTATGAAGTTCACGCTGACGTTAATAGGATTGGGACTGGCGTTGGCGCTGGTGCTGGTGGTCAGTGTGTAGTGTTTGACTAATCGGATCATAAGGTGTGACCTTACACATACACAATTGTCAAACTGGTTCCAAGTGTAGCCATACGAGATCATGAATGAATCAAATCTATTGTACCATTGTCTTGGAGACTACTTCAAACCATACAAAGATTTCTTCAATAAACATACATGATCCTTCTTAGAATCAAGGAACCCTTATGGTTGGGACATATAAATCTTATCTTCTAAGTTCCCATGAAGAAATGTAGTTTTCACATCAAATTGTTCAAGCTCTAAATCAAATGCACTCACCATGGCCAAAAGAACCTGAATTGTCTTGTGCTTCACGGCCGGTGAGAACACCTCGTGATAATCAATTCGTTCTTTCTTAGAAAACCATTTCGCCACCAACCTTTCCCTGAACCTAGCTGGTTCAACTCTTAGTATCCCTTCCTTCTTCTTAAAGATACATTTACATCTCACTGGTTTTGCTCCCTTTGGTAATGGAACTGATGAGTTTTAATACAAAATATAAGTGACTTTTTCATAAAAACTGGTCAACAGAAGTGTTAAAAATAACATGTTTATTTTGGAGTTTATAACAAAACCAAACCATCTAGGATCCATTTATAGAGGTTAGAATGATATTAAAACAACCATAGAGTTTAGAATGACAACCTTTGGAGCATTTGAACCCACTTGGTTTTGGGGTGTTGTCGTGTTGATGAAGATAGAAAAATCAAAGAGTATGATTTTCTCTATAAGTATCCACCATTAAGATTAAGGCACTTGGAATGCTAGTTCCTTCTTGTATGAAGTACTTCTTAAGACTTTAAGTGATTAACTTGATGGGTTTTAAGCACTATAACATTCTTATGGTGCACATGCAACCCTAGATGCTTTGGATCTAAGTTTTCTCTAATTATACATGCAATTTCATTTTCCAAATCATACATCCTAACTAGAATACAATAGAGGATATATAACATAAAAACCAAGTTAAATGGATACCTCTTGATGTAGTTTGTAGTTCTTGGCCTTAGAAAGCTTTAGCACCTCAAGTGTGATGCCTCTAATGTGTCACAAACACCAAATGCAAGAGGAAGCTTATGAGAAGAGGCTATATAGCTCAAAATCGGTTGCCACTCTCTTAGAATGCATGAGCACCGATTTTAGGGGCTAGGGGGTTGCTTTTATAGTGTGGCAAGGACTTGGGTTTCATCCATGCAAACCCTAACGCACCATGACCCTTCATATTTCTTAGGCTCCATGGGTTAAACCTCCATGGACTATCATATAGGTTTAGCTCATCCTAATAAACCATGGATCATTAGCCCATAGTATAAGTATCATTGATTTACTTAATCAGTCCCCGTAAATTTAATCAGTCTCTTTTGATCACTAAATTAATTCCAAATTAATTATTGATCAATAATAATTAAATAATATGATTTCTCAATTAATATATTATACTTATAATATATTAATAAATCACAAATAACCTCTTTCTCAAAAGTCCATCCTATCAAATTGCTCTGGTGAATGCAACCCAAAAGGACCATGCTACTATCGGGTCAAGTACATACCAGTTATAGTTATGGGCTTAGACACCTAATCCAACAGTCTCCCACTTAGATAAGTTTAATAACTATAACTGCCAATGCAACTTCAAAATCCGATTAGCAATCGTAGCTCTCAAAAGCCGCTGTCGAACTCTGACCTAGTCAGTGACGCGTCCTTTAGATAAGGGATCATATATCCCTCTGTTCTTCAAGATATCATGCAGACAAATACATGGAACATAGTCATACTTATTGTCCTGCAGTTTGTTTCTCGACGTCTGATTTGTTTGACATAGAACATAATTGAACACATCAATTGAGTCCTGACCGGGCCCGACACATAAGCCAAAACAAAATCATCGAGGGGCCCAAGATATCGCTTTTAATCCTCTTAGGATAAAAGGAACAGATAAACTTCGACTTATATGCTTGTACTAACTACTCGTTAAATCATGCACAACGATACGTTTTATAACATCAAGTTACTGATGCGTTTTCATACCATCAATGGACAA